GTGTCTCTGTCAATTAAATAAAAAATCTTTAAAAAATAAATAAATAAATAAAGTAGACTTACAGGATGGGGGGTGGGGGGGGGTCAGGCTAGAATTGCCTTTTGCCCTTAGCAAAATATTAACATCGAGTGAGTCCCTAGAGGAATGTCACTCTGCCTGTTTCAAGGACTTGTCAGTGGGTTCTAGGTAGTAAGGAAATTTAATAATTTTTCTTCTGCCTTTGTTTCCCACATCATTGGGATGGCAGTGTTGAGGAGAGAACTTCAGAGCTTTCAATTTAATGTACTTTTCAGCTCTCTTTTCATAAAATTAATTTTAACCATTTTAAAGTATACAATTCACTGGCATTTAATAAATTCATAACATTATACATGCATCACCATTATCTAGTTCAAGAACATTTTCATCACCCCAAAAGGAAACCCCATACACATTAAACAGTCATTCCCCATTCCCTCCTCTCCTCTAGCCACTGGCAACCACTATCTTTCAGCTCTTTTTAATAGTGTTTATTTCTAAGGTGATGTTCTCCATCTGCTCATTCATTGTGTGTATATTTACACACACTTATTTACCATTAAGTCCTTGAACATACTTATGGCTGATGCTTTAATGTCCTTGTCTGTTAATTATAACATATGGATCATCTTGAGTTTGGCTTCAATTAACTGCTTTCCCCCTCGTTTCCTCATCTATATAGTGATTTTTTTCTTAATTTTATTGACATAATTGACATATAATATTGTATTCATTTAAAGTATACGACATAATGATTTGATACAGTGATTCTTGGTAAGACTTTGGACATTATGATTAATATGTTCTAGAGATTCTAGATTCTGTATATTTCTCTGAAGAGTGATTTTTATTCCAGGTGACAGTTAATTTGGCTGAACACAAACACCACACTCTGCCTCCTCTGTGGTGAGCAGCAGCTAGGATTTCTACTCTGTTCTTTCAGCTTCCAGGGGCTGCTTTTCCCCCAGTTCCACTGGAAGTTCCTCTACACACACACACAGCTCAGTGGCTAGCCAAGGATTTGTGCCATTTCATATGTAAAATTTGGAATTTATTCCCTCTTGGCTCCTTTCCCTCCTAACTTTCTGGCTGCTCTGCCAGCCTCTACCTCTGCCTTCTAGCACCTCAATACAGTACGGCTGCAATTTTTGCAGCGTACATAAGGTAGATTTAGAAGTGCCTTCAGGTAAAAAACCATCAAGTTGCAAACTTTATCCAATACAGTCTGTGTTTCAAGGGTAGATTCTACTCTAGTTTCTGCCTGATTGTGCTTGCTCTCCACTGCCTTAAAATAGTTGGGTTTTTTTTTTTTAAGATTTTATTTATTTATTTTAAAGAGACAGAGAGTGAGAGAGAGAAAGAGAGAGAGAATGAGTGGGGGGAGGGGCAGAGGGAGAAGCAGTCCCCAAATAGTTGTGTTTTTTTTTTTTTTGCATGGGGCACCTGGGTGGCTCAGCTGGTTAAGCATCTGCCTTCGGCTCGGGTCATGATCTAGGACTCCTGGGATCGAGCCCTGCATCGGGCTCCCTGCTCAACAGGAGTCTGTTTCTCCCTCTGCCTCTCCTCCACTCATGTGCACTCTCTCTCTCAAATAAATAAGGTCTTTAAAAAAATAAAAATATTTTTTGCAAATTATATAAATGTTATGTACAGTGGGATTAGTGCAATCAAGCTACTTAACCATTCATGGAAACTACCTCATTTTTAATAGCTACATCATTATTATTATGGTTTGACTATACCATAATTTACTTAGCTAACCTCCAATTTATGGACATTTTATATTATCATCTCTTTGGGTAACAATAAAAGAATCCTCCTTTCCAAAGGTGTCCAGACTAGATGACTGAAATATAGTGATTCAGTGAACAGGCTTCAGAAATGGGTTTGGCTTCTGCTCCATCCCTAAGTAGGTATGTAAATTTGGATAAGTCAATTAACTTCCCTGAATCTCATTTTCCTCATATGTAAAATGAACCAAAGGGTTTCCTCATGATAATATTAATACATAAAAGCACAGTGCTTGGCACATAGAGCTCAATAGAGTGTAAACCTCCTCAAAAATAAGAACAGGGTACAGAAGAGGGCAGATCTGGTATTAAGATGAATAGTACAGGGTAAGTGGGGACAAGAGAGATCAGTTGGGATGGGAGGTCACAGGGGAAAGGCGAAAGAGAAGAGAAGAAAAAAGAGAGGCCAAAAATAATATATCTTTGTACAAGATAAGAATCCATCAAATGATTTTCTGGTTCAGAACTACTTTAAATGTTTTTTTTTTTAATTTTATTATTTATTCATGAGAGTCAGAGAGAGAGAGAGAGAGGCAGAGGCAGAGGGAGAAGCAGGCTCCCCACCTAGCAGGGAGCCCGATGCGGGACTCGATCCAGGACCCCGGGATCATGACCCGAGCCGAAGGCAGACGCTCAACCATCTGAGCCACCCAGGCGCCCCCAGAACTACTTTAATCAACACTTGTAAAATAGGCAAAGTCCCTGCCTACAACTTTTGCACTTTTAGCACTTCTCTGAACCTTCTAGGGTCCTGGTGCCTGAGTTACAACTACAAAAATTGTTTTCAGGAACTGTCCTAGCCAGCAGCCTTCCTAAAGCTTCCCTCAACCTCAGGAAGACCTCACAAAAACATTAATGCTTGCACTACAAGGAGCTCCAGAGTAAAGAAAGGAGAGGAGGCATAAAAGAACAGGATGGCTGGG